TGTTTTTATGAAAACATAAAATGACATACCACATGTGCGTCTATATTGATTTTCTGTTTACCCTGTCATCAAACCACTACGTCAAAGTGAGTTGAGGCTAGAAAAGCATCTTTTGAAACAGCCATCATACCGCGATATCAAACAAAATCAATTTTAGTTGTCCAACATATTGTTGAATTGGTATTCGTGAACTTGATGAAAATTAGAGAATTTAATTTGCTGTATAATGGGAACGCCGTAGATCTATAGATCTAATATTAATTGATGGATGAAAAGTTGGTGAATACACTAATTAAAAGTGTTATTGTACTAGATCGTGAACATACATGGAAAGTGAGCCACACATAAACACAATACAAAGATGCAATTAGATGACTCATATATAGCAAATCCACAAATTACAAAAATAAATATTGGCGTATCAATGCAACTCTGTACACTATCACCTAAATATAACAATTTAGTTTGTTTTATATAAATCCTTCACAATATATTAAGTGTATATATAAGACGAATGTGCTGAGTGAATGGCTGTACCTTGTCAGCAGGATATATATAGACCACATGGTTGGCAATCAAATAGCATCATCAATAAACATGCACAACCATCGTTATCAAAAACCACCATGTACAATTGTATCATAGGCGATTATAGTAACAAAGAACATGCTGCGATTTATAGCGGTCAATGTCATATACACGACAGGTTTTGTTAACACACACACAAAAAATCATTCAAAGTAGCGCCCTCTGTAGGCGTAATGGATAATGCAAGCGTGTTTTTCTTTTTATACTTAAAATTTGTATTACGTGACAACGCCCTCACACACCCTTTTAAAACACACGCGTCATTTTTCAAAATACACATCATTTTTTGAAAATAAACATGTTTTAGTTTATTTTATAATAGTATACACAAAATAATAAATTTACATTCGGCGTCTTGTCATGTCCGAATCGCACGGTCCCGTGTCCTTGACCTATAGGCCTCTACACGACACCATGCGGGAGCGCATAGGCTAATTGTATATCTTAAGCAGTGAGATCTGATTGGGCGCGCCTCGCTCGAAACATGGCGCCCAATCGGCTTGGACGTATGCAATTATAAAATAAAATTCCACTTCCTGTTTTTGTCGCTATGAAGACATCCTTACCACACAAAACTGCGTCGATTGCCTGTACCTGATGAGGCTTGAGGGCACCAACACCAATAACTTTCGCAATTTTATCATCACAAATATCACGATTTTGTTTAGAATGAAACGCAAAAGAGGGATTTGTAACACGCAAACTGATTGTACAATGATTAGCCGCAACTGACTACTAGGGGCGCTGTTAGAATACGGATGGTCGATGGTGGTTAGGCCAAGGTCTGTTTAGAGGCTTGGCCGAATAAACTTAGACCTTGGCTAGCGAAGATGGCGTCTCGTACATTGCTTTTGGTTTTGTTGATATCATCCATGTTGGCCGCGATGCCATACAATCCTGGCAATATTTATAGGTTATAGCTGAGATGTATTGTACATGACGACTTGTCAACAAAGAAGTGGCTAGCCGGAAACTGGCAGTATTTTAGCACCCTTTTATTCACTGCCAACATTACCAATGCGCAACCCGATAGACGATATTTTTCTAAATAATATAAATTATTGTTTGTGTAATCTGACACATAAATCATTATTATTATTATTATTATCGAGTTTGCCATCTTGCTTTTTGTCGCTAAGACATAACACTATACTTGTGGAGACGTTTTAAGAGACGTAACAATACCACATTTACAATTATTTCTGTCAAAACGATCATTATTTGAACATATACATTCCCTGTTGCAAATGCATGTTGACTCGGCAAGATGTAGCAGACTTGGAAGTGAATTACTTGTATATCGTACTTTTATACCACATTCACAGTAATGAAGTGAAGCTGTAATTGCTATACATCACCAAACGTGTAAACATACATTTCCGAACATTCTTTAAAGTAGACAAGTGCGTCGTAATAAGCAAGTTCAATACAATAGACACACGTATATTGTGCGCGTGTTTTCACAATTACTTCGCTTGACTCTACCACACTCACAGAAGTTTACTCGTTTATAGCCCCTTAAGCTAAACTGGAGCAGGCAGGTGTCGGTATGTGTCATCGAACTATAGGAGTGTTGAAATGTGGTTTTAATAGTTATTACACGCTACTGAGAAACATGTTCGAACAAAAAAAATGCAGTGTGCCAGCAGTTTAAGTAAACGCAATGATAAATGTGTAAATTAAATTTTCATCCAAAAGCAAATATGAAATAAAATTTATGAAATGTTTACAGAAAATATTCAAATATTTTAATTATTAATAAAACAGAAAATATTTGTGTTTAGGATTTAGAGACATCCAGAGTAAGTGCTCCGAAATCTATAAAATATTCTACCATGAAAATAGTTAATAATATTACACACTTGCGCGTAGTTCCAAAAAATCCCAAATACCTTGGAAACCAATAGTAAAACCGTCTAATGTGCATATTAGACACACATCACCACTGACTATTGCCAGGCAACAGTTTAATCATTGTTAGTTGAAGCATTGTATCGAGTTATTCCATATGCTTGTATACACTTACAGTTGACGCCACTTCGTTAGTTCTGTAATTAGAAGTGGTACACTTGTGAACAAACGATTCACGTATTAATGATGATATTTTATGAAAATTAAGCTTGACAATAACGTGATTACGTATTCAAAAATTACGCTCGCTGCTTTTGTTTTATCCTTCATCTTCGATTTATGAGATAAATAGTATATCAAATTTCGTGACCCAAATATACCATATATATATATATATATATATATGCTCGAGCAAAATGGCTATACTCAATAAATCAGATATATGCATTAGATATGACACTGCGTCTTGAAGCGCCATCTATGTTGCAATTACCGTTATCTGGAATTGTCATCAATTTATGATTGTAGCAACCTTCGTGAGTGTAATAAAGCCATAAAACACAACCATAAGGACGTTTCACATTCACATGTCAAGTGTGACCATAACGTGATAACGTTTTCATTTTATTACCCTTTGCTTTTGCACTGTCTTGCACTAACTTCAAGAACGAACAGATTGAGGGCGCGACTTGCTAAACCGACGAATGGTGTGCAAGTGCCGTAATGACTTTTTTATAATTGCCGATCGTAGTAGCAATGTCTAACAGTTTCCATAAATAGTTACAGTACCAGTAACAATGCACACGCGCGATTGAAAAAAACACAAACAAATAACTTTTATACGACATTCCATTCCATGTGCCCGCGTATGTATTTATTGCTGTTGTTAATCAAAAGTTTATACTGCGAGTCATAAACTATATCAATGTTTAATTAAATTGCTATGTAAGCTCAAGCTGAACTATTCTATTTGCTTTACGTTGTTTTGCATGTATTAAGTATATCTGTTAATATTTTGTAATTATTGTTAGAATCGTGTCCTATTTTTTATATCTCATTAATCGCTCTACTGATTCATTACATAAGTGTGAATACTTTGATACTTTAGGGCCAGGAATCCGTTTTATAGCTTGCAAGCAGATCCGTAATGTCCAAACGAGTATTATAAATCCCTCTAATCTAAGTCTTCTTAAAGCATTTGCTCATTTCTATAAACGACCTTTAAAACAAAATGCTATTATTTCATCTTCATACGATTTTTGAATACTTATTTGTTTTGGATATCGGGGTTTGTTGCTGGTATGATTACTGATTTTGAAGTAAAAGTTATAAAAAGGTCGTTACGCAATCTCCTCGAAACGTTTATTTAGACTCTAGTGCAATCCATTTGTGTACAATGATAAGTTGAATTTGGAATAATTAAAAAAACATGCATTACTTATATTTGTGAATACTCATAACGCTAAGATTACGTATTTGTAATGTTTTATTACACACTGCTAAACTATAATGTAGGTTTACATAGATCAAAAACATTACACTACGAAATGTTTTTAAATATTAAATACCTTTGTATAGAATACACCTCCACTGTTCATTTTCTCTGAGATTAGCACACTATGAAGGTGGTATATTCACTCCGAAAATAGTGCCAACTTATTTGTCACCAGGCTCTGTCGGAAATATTTTCGTTCTGCTATCCAACCCATAATCACACATTTACATAAAATCAAATACAATGAATCATTTGTTAATCAATTATCCATACTATTATTTATTACAAAACAAAACAAAACACATTACCAAATACAAATCATATTCAGTTACATAAAGCAGAACAAGCAGACCATATCTCCCAATCACTATAAACAGTGTATACGAAATGTGTGTATGTGCTTGCAACCACACGTCACAAACGACAAAAAGGAAAGAAAGTTATTATTTTGATTTGTTGTTCTGATTCCAGAAGTGTTAAATTCTAAACTAGGCTTAATTACATTTGACACACACAGAACACAGTATCAACAAACTAAAATGTTTGTAAATTTTCCAATATAACAAAAAAAAAATATTGTGGGAGTTTGATATCCAAATAGTGGTTTCGATTAGCGTTACCTACTAAATTGTAAAGAAAATGATATATAAAAAGCATATATAGTCTTTCAAGAGAAATATTACACATACATTATCATGTAAAATAGAAGCTCAAATCATGAAATAATACATCTGCCTTAGAGATAAAACCCAAATAATACGCGTATGGATTGTTCATCATGTCTGTTCGTTTAACAAACAATCCATCAATATTGCTAAATACAGGCAAAGCTCGTTAGTTTGCTAATGGACCTACCCGATTATTATAAACAATGTTAACATACTTTGCAATGTAAAATTAACCTTTCTGTAACAAACCAAGTACACATTTCCACATACCCAAACGTTACAGTGTGATTGTATGCTATATTTGTCTTTTGTATATTGTTAGATGGTATCATCACCGCTAGTAAGATAAACTTGTACAACTCGACATATGCTAGGCAAATTACTTTCATGATGGAAGCTTATTTCTCATTTATATTGATACAGTTAGATGAAATGTTGGGTACATCCATGTTGTGATGACAGTTTTGTCGAATCAGTTCATCCTCGCTGATGATGCCCTTCGAGATCAAGTAACGATTCAGTAGAATGGGGATTAGCTACGGGAATAAGAACAAACATAAATAGAAACCTAATCACTCGTGCTGTCCAAAATATTGGTATTGCAGTAATAATTTAATAACATAAAAAAGTGCCATGCGATATCCGATTTGATTTTGATGAAATGTACTAAATTTTGTTAATCATCAGTCTCTTGTAGTATAAACACCGTTTATTTGAACTCAGTAATATACGGATTAGGAAACATGTTTTTTTTTGTCACTTACTTGCTCGGACGAGGACGTTCTAACCATTGGAAGTCCACAACTAGACATTTTTGTCGGTGAATTCTCTAGCTGTAAAATAAAATTTACATTCATTATTAAAAAAATGAACAAATCCACACAAGTTAAAAGTTGGACATTGTTGTTTCCCTTGATCGCAAAACATAAACGGAGGTATATTGAAAATGTTGAAAAACACCAAAATGTTTCATAGGCAAATGCCAATCCATTCTAGAATGTAGCAAAAGTGCATTGGGTGTTGCGAAAATATGTACATCAGTTTATATTATAAAATGCATTGGGGTTATGAAATGTAACTCCGCGTTTTAGCACCAAATGCTCAAACTCTTATTATTGAATCTACAGAAAACAATATAGAAAACAGCACTCTATAGTATAGTATAGTATAGTATAGTGCAAATGTGATTTGAAAACACCACTGAGTTAACACGGGTAATCAATTCTGTTCTAATCGGCGGACTAAGCACAGAAAGTTGCTAAATTACACATTGTACTTGCTGACACATTGTGAAACACTGTCTTATCTGTATTGGCGCCGACATATGCACTTAGTTTGTAGTTGCAATATTTGGCACAACCAATCTTTTTCCGGGACCAATGCAATTGACAGTATGAACACCACTATCAAAGCAAGGGTATATATCGAAACAAATATTATAAATACCTTTATATCTGCTTGAACGTTTTTTGTTTTATTCCTGTAGAAGCATTTTCGAGCAATGTTTTTCACACACACCACAGATGGGAAAATGTTGAATGGTGCTGGTAAGACTGGTGCATCTACATAGTTCACATACACTGTAGTTCGGAAATACTTGTATTCTTTGTCCATTTGGTGCTAAGTGATTTAACATTTTATTATTATATTTTTATTGTTTGTATTTGTAATTACAATAAAACCACTCGTTTATATCAATTTGCGATGTGATTGCCTGGTAGCACATGAAAAAAAAAGCTTTCGGTTAAGCATTATTGTTTGCATTTTATTGAAAATAAAACAAAACACATAAACTGATGGCGTTTATCGCAATACTAACTAGTGACTGTTCACACTAAAGGCCACGACTATGGAATATATTCATAATGATCCTGTGAAGTATCGTCAATATAGTACATGGCAAATAAGGGATGACTATGTACATGTGCGTATCATTATTGCAACGAGTATATACACACACTTTATATATAAATACTATTCCTATCGGGATATGAATTTCGATGTGTTAAACGTTGGCGTTATATGACGTGATGGAATATTCATCAAATGTTTTACCTTAACACGTACTTACACATTTTCTTGCGTATGTATTTGACATCATGGCAATACATACGGAAAGCAGTACTAGCATAACAAGCGTGCCAAACACTGCGTATAACGTAAAGCCTACCCCTTTGTACAAAGCTGATGCATCATATAGCTCGTTCGATGTGTTGTTCACTAAAACCACAACGTTGAGACTGTTGGTGGGATCACCGCCGAATATTGCCGTAATTAACGTCGCAATCGTAGTACCAAAGCTGAATGCAGTAACAAATGACATGCATCAAATTACTGACTTGGTAAGCTGTGACACAGGTTGCTCATACAATACACAAGTAATACGTTTTAATGGTGGGTCTCGTGCATGCCAAATAGACAAGGTTCTCCTTCGAAAATATCCGTATAGATGACAACTTGTGAACGACTAAGGAGTGTTTTATAACAAGCGACTTACTTGTTGAATTGGGTTTTCTCAACGCCATCGAATATGTAATAAAATCCAATGGCAAACGACATCACAGCAAATGTGAAGATAACTAGAAATCTTACAACGTCGGCTTTCATCGCAGAAAACATTAACATCATAGGCCCCAAGTTAGAAGACAAATATAGATTCTCCATAAGGCGTAGACAAGCAAACGTAATAGATATACCTGTCCATGTAAACCAGAAAAGAAAGAAGGAGTCGGGGATATCGACCAAGAAATACCCATGCAGAATGCGAAGAGAAATGTCTACGAGGAATGAGAAAAGAATCAACAGATCCACGTAGTTCCAGAAATCGAAAAAATACTTAGTAGGTCCGTATATCATCATCTGGGTCATTTCTGCCCAAAGCAATGCAATGTCATAAACGAGAGCCAATAACAATAATGGCACATATAACACGAGCAGGTCATCGCCAGTATATTTATCGAATAACATATTTAGAATGAGAACCAATATCAAAAACACGACGTAGGACACCATTTGCGTAATAAACTTTGCCTTGGGGCTGTCCAAGATTGAAGCTAGACTACATGTAGGTGCAACGATGTAGACTATAGCGAAGAACGGCAGCAGTATTACGTAGAAGAGGCAACAATACAATACGTAGATAATCAGCCAATGTATGGCGTTTCGACGATACCACTCGGGTTGGCCGCGATGCCATATATTCCTTACAATGTTTTGGCATTTATAGTGGGCGATGAACTGAAAAAAAATGAAATTCATGACTGCTGAGTTGAACCATAAGTGTTGTTAAAATAGGCACTGATTACCCACAATTGCACGTTATTTAATAAATTATCTATCTAAAAACTACTAACAAGCTAAAAACAAACTATACAATTTATTGACTCTCCACCAAACACAAACTTCGTATGTTCATAAAAAATATATTAAAGTTGAAAAATGCATTCAGCTAATGAAAATTATGAAATATGTTATATTTAGTTTTGTTGATTACGCATGGTTGCGCCCAAACATAAACGCTACACAAATACACAAAATTATACCATTTTATATTGCATTATAAAATCAATATGTATTTTGCCTTGTGTATGTTATATAATCAAACTTTTTTTAAGAGTTTGGATAGAAGATACACGTAAAACACCACGAAAAGATATGGTAAGAGACTGCAAACCGCGATCGTGCGATTTAACATACTAAATAAAGTTATACCCCATAACCTACATTTTCTCGTTTTGTTCATATTGATTAGCCCACAGTTTCCGTCATAATCTAGCGATCTTTTGGAATTTTATCAAATCTCTGGTTTATTTATATCTGTAAATCCACACCTTATCGTGGTGGTAATAAAACTTACTTCTTTGTTGCGAGCCGCAATTGCACTCCTCAACATTTCACCTTTTTTCAATCGATTGTCTCCGTTTCCAAGCAATAGGGTTTTTACCTCTAACGAAGTGACACAGCAATCCAGTATCTCCACGGCGTACTTCTCAGGCGTCTTTCTTAATTCGTTATACCGTCCCTAGTGCATTTACGTACAGAATTACTGACTATAGAATTACTATGTATAACACAAATGCGAACATCATAGTAACCGAGTATGAACCATTGATTCAAAGTTGGCAAGTGCATCGTAAATAGCAAATATTTTCTTACCTGTGTTGTCACATTGATTTCCCTCGACTCGCTTACATTCCGAAGTTCACCAGTTAGATTGATAGCCGCCAAAAGCGGGTCTCTGTGTGCTAAGCTGAGGTAGGCAGGGGATGATATGGCGACATATCGTCTAAACCGAGCATCTTCGTCTGTAATATCTTCTACCCCTGTTATGGCAAAAAAAAAAAATATCGAAATGATCAAACGTATGTTATTTTAATCGTTAGAAATTGTGATGAAAAATGTTAATACGAAAATAATGCACTGTGTGAACTATACACATTGCAATATATATTGTCATGAGATATAAAATCAATTTTCCAATCTGCGCATTTTTTTTTATTAAGAAAATATTAATAAAGGGGAGGAACGAGAATATGAAAATCCCATTTCCTAGTAAATATAAACATGCCATGCCATGGTCTTTTTCGAATAATAATCATCCCGACCTTATCAGCCAATTCAAATATATTGAACACAGTGTACCTAGTCAAACTCACATCTTACAATGTGTCAATGACTCAATGTGACATACTTTGTGACAGTGCAATGAATATGTGTTATGTGCATATTCGTTTAACTGCCATAAACCGAATATACTGGATATCATTCTGATCGCTCGAACAGTTTATATTTATATATATAATTCATAACGCCAATATTGACAAACACAAACTTTTTTGGTTCGGCAAGTTGGTTGAAAACATATATTTATGCATCAAAATTCCCTTTACAATGCAACCAGTATTGAACACAGGCAGTGACCTAGTACAAGCTACAGTAAATATAATTCGAAAATGAGCCGTTTTTTCTGAATTCAATATGTGCAATATAAAGATATCTGTGATTTACAATATATTAGTTATGCATGTATAGTAAGTGTTGCAAAAATCCATTAAATATTCATCTATCTTAAAATAATTACAGTATTATAGTGTGCATGGCGACTTTTGTACAAAATTACGTCAAATACCCCAATGCTTCCACTCTATGACTGACCATTTGACGGACGGGGGTAGTCTAGACGATTTGCGCCGCTGTCAATCAACAGTTTAACCATGTGGTAGTCATCCGCCTCAGCTGCAAGTTGTAACAGTGTCATCTGTTGTCCCATATGATTGTATATTAAGTTGCAATTGACGCCATTTCCTTCATTCTGCAATTAATAGTGTGTTAATTAATGTATTAAAATTAACCTATTAAATGCATGTCGATTTTAATTGCGTTGTCGTGTATTATAATATATACATATTCTTTTAGGATACATTCACGCAAGTGCAAGCAAACATTGGTGTGAATACGTTACGGAGAACACTTGTATAGTGATGAGATATACAGGCGTGAGAACGTAACGCCAGCGAAAAAATATCAACATGGCGGAGTATAAATCACTTCGTACGAGGCGGTATTATCACCATGGTCTCCACGCCATTACTGTGACCATTCTAAGTGGATTAGGAAAGGGAATTTAGGTCAACTATATTCACTTTTAACCAAATTCTAACCGCAAATAAAAATGCGTTTAAGTTGAAATATTTTAACATTTATGACATCTTCTTTTTTGTAACTAATGGGCGTGACTTGACCCAACTGTAACTAGTCAGAATACGGCGAATAGCAAAGAATGTACTTAAAATGACTGATATATCAAAATACACTTGGACCCAACAGTGTTGATAATGTAACACCATGTGTGAGGGGATAAACAAGGTACAATCAATACATAGAATATAGAACCACGACACATACCTGTAATATATACTTTGCCTTGGGAACGTCGCCATGTTTCACCACTGAAAAGAGTTGACGTTCTTGATCTGTCAATCTCCCATTCGACAGTGACATGTACTGCCATTCGCATTGCGTCAACGGGACGAGACTTTCCGCGTTCATCATTATTCACCGTTACTTTTCATATGACGTATTAGAAATTCGGAAAGCGTAGGCCTGGGCAATATCGATGTGACTGTGTCGAGATATGCGGTTGCACGGTGCCAATACACGTACATTTTATTTGAAACTAATGTCAATATGTCATCGAGGCAACCTGCATGGGTGTGATAAAGCAATAAAAACAAATGTAAACATGTGTTTTTTTAAGTGATAACGTCAGTTTTAGTTTTATTACCAGATGGTAATAAAAGCTAATGGACACGACCTTGTTGAACCAAAGGAAATAGAAAACTTGTCTATTTCATAGTTACGAATTTGTAACAAGTTCGTAGTTAAACTGAACATTTTCTATAAATGCCACAGATACATATTTATTCAAGCAGTCATCGGTTACACCAGATTTGATGTGATATGTATGTTTCTGATTGATAGACGGTCTAGTCAATTTCCGTACGTCGTTTCACTTGCACAATGTACTTTACTTATTACAATGTTAAAATTGCACCTTATTCACCAGCTCTACGCAATTGTGGGGGATATCTCATGTGTAATACACGAGCTACTCAATCCCCATGAAGTTATATATAAATATAATATAATTGGTTACACTAGCTGAACATATCATATATCATTTATAGTATTATATAATTCAAATTACATACAGTAAAACCGTCAAAACATTGGGTTGTTTGAATATTTTCTAAATCTTCTTGGAGAAACCATTCAGGTTACTGAGATTATTACATATTATTAATATACATCTATCACCGTAACGCCATACGTTACAGCGTGCAGTAATTTAGCGGTATTTTATGGCATGCAAATTCTGAATAATAATAAAAAACAAACATGACTGCCACCAGGGTTTGACCGGAGTCTATACAAAGAAGTTCGCTGATTCTGTTTTAAAACAATTATTACACTTATTTATTACACAGAATATACTTATAACAAACATACCTGGGTGTAATCTGTCAGCATCCTTATTCTCTGTTTTTTTATATATTACCTCAAACCTTGCAAATATAAGTGTGCATGAAATCATGGGAAGTAACGGTGTACATTGCCGTGTTATAACTGTCATAAAGGTGATTACAACTCTGGAAGGATAAGTGGAATATACCAGGGGTTGTTGTGATTTACATAACAAACGATGTTTACTATTTACTGACTTGCCTACGTGAGACAGCTGCTAGCAAGACCACATTCCGATTGGCTCATGTGCAAACCCGGGTGGTGTACCTGAATCTGGGCCGTTTATGCATATAAATATGATGGAGTGAGGAGAGCTTGTGTCCACTATTTCAATAAGTAACTTGTGTGTTGCTGCTGCGATATTGTGAGTTATTATTAATGCACACTTCCCTAGTCAATCTATTTTAGTGAATTTATTCATTGTATTATTAGGTGCTTTGTTTCTTGTTACATGTGTTGTTATGTAAAGGTTGGTATTGACTCGAACTGTTTACTGGATTTAATATAATTTTCAACAGTGAAATATTCACGGTAGACAGAGCTACAGTGAGGAGAGAAGCGGGACACAGCTAAGATCCTAGAGGGTATAAACGTTTTTCTGTTAGTCGTCGGCTGATATTTTCGAGGAATACGAGTGAAAAACATCACCGTTATCGCAAGAGGGCGTCTACAAGGGTCACAAGTCCTTTGTTTTTTGGCGGTAACACGACTTTCGCCGTTTACGCACTTCCATGATATTTTATTATGAAAAAATAAATAAAACAACAACAAATAAACAAGAGACTATGCAAGTCTATTACACAGTAGGTATAGCTAACAGGGTTACGTACAGACACAGACAACTGAATATGTGCGTGTTGGTAACTTTGTAGTAATACACCGTAATATGTTTTTGTAATTGTCTCACTATTGAACAGCACACTGATTATATGTCACACATTGCGCATTGGGAGGTTTAGTTACGCGTTCTTATTCAAATTTACGTGTGGTGAATACGCGTAACGTGATCATCACGTGACATAAGAACACATACGTGCGTTCCGATAGTTAAGGTGCAGTTCTAGACGTTGATATCATCAAGTTACGATTAAGTTCAAAGACAATTTTCTACAATTGTGCTTGCATTTTGCGATTAGATTCTCCTAATATGTAATATTGATAATTAATATAAACTTAAAAAATCGATGATAAATATTTGTGTTTGTTTTATGAGAGTATTTCGTCACGGCAGCTGGATCATCTCAGTTGGCTCATCACAGTCCTGCACCTAACATTTGAGAAACAATGATGACATTTGCTGCATAGCAAGATGTATTGCTACTGGGGAATGTAGTC